TATAAAAATAAACGTTATCTTTAATTTATTATTGCTGTTATTATTGCTATTATCACCTTCAATGTTATTATCACTAATTAGTATTATTAAAATAGATATTTAAATATCATTATTATTACCATATTATTTCTATTAGTATTGTTAAAATAAATATCACTATTAATATTGTTGTTGTTATCACCTTTATTATCATTATTATGACTAATTAGTATTATTAAAATAAATATTTGAAAAGGACCGACATGTCACTGGTGAATCACGTCATTGGATGCATCCTTGTCACTCACGGGTTTCAAACATATCCCCCAATGGTCGAACAAATATGAAGGACTGAAGTCTGTCACTCAACAATACCAATTGTTCCTATTGTGGATAATTGATATCAGATGCTGCACCTAATTTTAACGTAGGCCTAATTCTTGGGCGTGGTTCTGAAGAAAATAGTATCGAAATGCACACCATCGTGCATTCATTTGATTTTAGTCGGATTCAAAGTAAATGTTTAACATTTAAGAAAATTATAATGTGGTTTTTCTATTTCAATTTTTTATGATTAGGTCTACAGTATGTACTCATGTTTTATGTCAGTGTTTTAACATGAACAAAATTAAACATTAATATATGTGTTTTTCTTAATTATTAAGATTGCTTAAATTGTTAATGTTACAATTGTCAGATTTTATTCCATTCTGTAAGTGGCAGGTTTTCTCTGTTGAATAAGATTACTTATTATTATTACTTAGAACTTTTTGTGGCCGAGTTGATTTGTGGCCGAGTTGACTTGTGGCCGAGTTGACTGTGGCCGAGTTGACTTGTGGCCGAGTTGACCTGCACCCTCTAGCTCGACCCTAGGCGCAGTCAGGGATAGCCTAACTAGCTAATTGGAGGAATCCTTAACATAAGGTAGTCAACAGAAAGTCCTAACTTTAATTAACGTTTGTCATTGTTATGGGTTATCCATTTTCTCACCTTCTTCACATTTCAATTTTATCTTCATAGAAAAAATGGCAACAAAATGTTTTTATTTGAGTTGCGGAGTAGGAGTCAGCAGTTCATCATTGCAAAGGTAGGCCCTAGGCAAACCAATAGCGAGGACTTGCTGGCAGCCTACAAATGTTTGCCCACTCATTTTAATGTATTTGATCAGACTCTTGTTTTAACACTTTATCTTGATTTAAAAAAATGTGAGACTTGCCTTCCGGAGAGACTTTTCTTTTAGGCCTATATTGGAAGGTTGACAAGTGTGATAAACAAATTGTTGTATATCTGATGGGCAAAAATCTCATAGTGTGTGGCTGCCCATAGTTTAGAAGAACAATACAAATTTTCAGGCAATGTACCACGACCCACATCCCAGGACATTAAAAAATAGATACTCAAAACACTGTAAAATATTTGGCAACCCAATTTTTTTTTTTAATTGCTGCTGTAATTTTGTTTGGAAAATTACAGTATATTATTTGTTGAACCAATTATTTACTTACCTTAACAACGATTTCAGAAACTTCTACAGCCACTTTCTTCAGGCTAATGAACGCATGGATGAATTGGGACATTCACGCTTCTGTGAATCTGTGCGCCAACATGTGTTTTGTGTGTAAATGACCTTAAAAAGATAACTTTTCCTACTACATTATACTTGGAACGATGGATGGAACCAGATGAAATTCATTGAGAATGTTTAAGTATGGTTACCAGGATTACTATAGTGATCCCTGTTGTCTGCCACCTAAATCTAAAGTAGTATAAACTTTAACATCTACAAGATATTGAATTCAGTCAATCAATCAATTAATCAATCAGAGATTTATATGGCACACGTATCTATGATCTATATAGAGATGCTCATGGCATCTCTATATGGCAACAAAGTTATTTTTTACAACGAACTAATGAATTGTTTATATATTAATAATAAATTTCTGTAGACTTTGCAACCTTTCATTATGCAAAACTTTAAGGATGTTGTAGTATTTATTTCCTTTAATGTAAATAATTTAGTGGCTTTGACTTTTTTAATAGGGGAACCAGTGGCAGTTGTACAATGGTGTCCAAGTACACAAATACATAGAATTATCTAATGTCATTTCTACAACAATTACTAAGGTAAGTTTATTAAGTTAACCAAAGGATACTAGTGCATAATTCATTATATTGTGTATATGCACAATTTAAAAGACTAAGCTTTGTCTAATAAGATTTGTTTGTAACAGTGATACACTATCAAAGTATTATTGGAATGGATACAGAAACAATCATACGCAAAAGACATCCATCCACCTTCGCTGCCTGGAAAATATACCTATTCTTTCATTAAACAAGAATTTTATTCTATATTTTTACGAATGGTGATCCTAGTGTCTAAAGATTTGTCCAGACTATCAAATTTTATTTGACAAAAACATGTGACATACCTAAATATAGTCATGATGACATCACATCATGACTATATATAGGCACATCATGACTATATATGGGCATACAAAAATCTGACGGTTAAAATGAAAAAGATATTACAAAATCTAACAGAAAAGCATTTTGCATTGTTGATTGTAAGTATTCATGCAAACAAATTAAACTGATTGATTGGTTGATTGATTGATTGATAGATATAAACATTTTTGAATTCAGGGTTTGGATGAACAAATTAAAGTGTTTGCCTGCACAAGTAAGACAAAGGTATTTCTATTTTTTCACATTTTTATGAGTCTCAAGTCGCTCATGCTCAACCTACCACATGCGAACTAGCAAAATTACCAGGAAACTAACCTGTCTTCTGCTTGCTCAGAATGTTTGCATGTTTTTCTGCTGTAGTAATTGCCTGTAAGGTTTGTTGCCCATGAGTGTCATCGCACACAGCAAAATGCATGCGTTAAGAAAGCTTACAAAAGCCCTTTCCTTTCTCCACACTCTTCAATTGCTCTCATGCATGTGGCAGTCTTCAACACTTCTTCCTTCATCTCTTCATTTTATTCTAATTGTGAACATTTTTTAGGATTGGATTGGATTTATTTGATGTGAACATAAGGATAGCCCACGAAAATCTAGAAGAAGTCTTATTTCAAGCCGAGGTGTCCTTCTGGTGGTTTTTGGGCAGTTCACCTGCAGACAATTCCCTATCCTTTCCGAAGAGTGTACTGCGTTTTTTAACGTGCGCATGGGCCATAAATGCACACAGGACCAATGGCTTAAACATCTCACCTAAAAGACGGTGCACTATTGTAAATTGTATTTCAGCCCTCTAGCTGAAACCCAAGGAGAGGCAGCGATGGGAATCCAACCGGGACCTACATGTAGAGATCTCCACTGTCAGCGCACACACAGTAGCTACCACCAGATTAGCCGAGTGAGACCAAGCTGTTCTCTCATGCATTTTCATGCCTTTTATTCTTTTTTTACGCAGGTATCTGTGATTGATGAAGGGCGATTGAAGTCACTGGAACAGAATCAAAATAGTGAAATGGAGGAAAGTTGTGCATCGGTGATGTCACACCATTTTGAGTCATCATCAAGTGGAAACTCAGAGGCGGCTGTTGGTCAACTTGAGCAATCAAGTAAACCTACCTCCTACCAAGTAAGATCAAAAATTGTCTCTGTTGAGCTATTAAGCTATGTCTACACTATGCTGTTGTTGTGACAAATACCTTTTGCCCATATATGGGTGTGATATGATATCATTTCCATGTATATGCATAAATTACACAAAATTGGTACTCCAGGATACCTACTGTACCTCCTACGTCCTACCAAGTATGATCAAAGCATAGGCTTAGCCAGCGAGCTGGCTATTATTTAGGATGCCCACTTTTACCGTGATGGCTTGGATGACTTGACCTTATCAGCTTGGCCTAGCCTAACTGGGCCTGGTCTACCTTTAGCATATTATTCTTTATATTTTTCAAATCTATCGAATGTTACATTAAACTAAAGCTAAATCATATTTACGTTTGATAAAAACAACATTTATTGATTTAATGTATGTTGTTTTCGTACCAATTTTTGGTGTAGATTCCTAAAGATGGGCGTGGCCCAGAGTGGGCGTGCCCGTCCATTGGCTCAGTGCCATGCCTACTGGCTTTAATTTTGGACGGCCTAATTCGTTTTTCTGGCTAAACCCCAGGATCAAATATATACTATCTGTATCGAGCTAAAAAGCTATATCCACTATTAAGTTTTATGTGACAAATACCTATGATTTTTCCATATATGGGAGTGATATGACATGCTCATACATTATATGGGAGTGAAATGACATACCCATATATGATCAAATCACACAAGTTGTCACTCAATTAAACCTAGCTCCTACCAAGTAGAGTTAAAGGGCTTCAGGGTAAAGGTAATTCATTATTCATGATATTATTCATGATGGTTTATTTAACATTTAATTTATACGTTAGTGTAAATTAGTGAAATTATTAACTTATCATAGTGTTTTTGTTTATTTTAGGGAAAGGTGACCAAAATTATTGATTCTAGTGCTGGTATTTATGAGCTTGATGACAATATAAGGTAAAGTAATGGTCTTTAAGGGCACCTGTGCCCTGGCCAAAGATAGCAACATTACCATTCTCACACATGCTCGAACTTATGACCTCTCAATTGCAGGCCCAAATCCTTTCTGCTGCGCCATGCTTCCATTTAGATTTAATTTTTATATTCTTTTCCTCAAGGCTATATTTGACATATCTTAACAAGGACATTGGTTGTGTCGTACCAGAGATCAGGGTAGATTCATGCGTTACAGTCTACAATGCTCACTTAAAGACTGTGTCAAAGGTTAGTCTGTGCCAAATCAAACCAATGTTTAGAATTTGTCCAACAATGTATGAATATGTTTTTAATTTTTATATATGAGATGTTACAGTAATAAAATATTTTACTTTTAACAGGTTCCTTGCCTTGTGTGTTGCATGCGATCTCATGTTGAAGTAGTAGCAGTTACATCTCCTTCGGTGAGTCTCTATTATTTGTTTTATTCATTCAGTGATAAAAGATTTTGAATTTAATGCTTTTCATGTATATGTTGGAGAAAATGTAACAAATTAATAATTTTTTTTTATGCTTATTTATAGTCATATCCCTTCTCTTCCTCTCTTCAATCCTACTCCCCTCTACTACCTCCTACCCTTCCTTTTCTTCTCTCTTCCCCATTGCCCCCCTGCTCCCCTTTCTCATTACTTATTCCCATTTATCTAATCTTCATCTTCCTCTTCTTCCTCTTCGAAATTTGTGCTTTTTTTCATCTTGTTATTCTTATTACTTGATGTCCCGTTTATTTTTTATTTAGTATTGCATTTCATTAAATGGCTGTCTTGTCAAACTGACAACACAATTCATCCCAGGCTTCTATATGTTAACACGCTTACAATTTCTGGTCAGGCAACTCACACTTAAACTTCCAGAAAAATTTCATAGGTAAGAATAAGATTTTATTGGACGAACTATACATATAAAAATATCAATTCTATTCTATACTAATAATAGTAATTGCTTGATTTGGAAGCAAGCAATTACTAATAATAGTAATTGCTTGCTTCCAAATCAATAGTACCGTGTTTAATATATTTCATTATAGATTAATGTAGAAAATATCGAGATAATATCAGATATATAATTTACTCAATCATACATTTATTTCAAGATTTCACTTGGTGTTTGTGTGTGCTCGTATGAATAGAAATAGAAGTAGATAAGAGTATATTTATTTCTATGAATGTGGGACTTTTTTTTAGTGTAGTAAGGACAGAACTTTAATGTAGTGTGGACAATGCAATACAGAGCAGAACATATGTTTATTCTGTGAGCTCTGATTGGCCCACTGTGGGATTAGAATGAAATAAAATATAGGCAAAATGAATAGATGACAAAAACCAAAATGAATGAATACATAAAATGTTTCAGAAAAATTAGCAAGATGATCGGAAACATAATAGAGACTGATATTGAGCCTTGCTTACTTCCTCGGAAGAGAAATGTTTATGCAGAGTTCTTGAGGTCGCCTCATCAAACCTGTATCGTCGATGATGTTCAACCACAGATAAAAATAAAGGTATATTAACACACCACCTTTTTTTAGTGCTGAACAAGTTTTAATGAGTAGCAGTATAGAAGTATAAGATAGAAGTTGGCATTTGTAATATCTTGAGCTATTTTATAAAGACCACAGCACGTAACGTTCAAACACTGCCTGATATTTTATACTCATCATAAAATTACATAATTGTTTAAAGTTTGGCTGTTTTTGAGCAATACAATTTTTATTCTTGGTTTCAAAGTTCTTCATAATTTGTGAGTGAGCGTTGTGAGGGCAGGCTTATTATTCACTGGAAAGCCAAAGCAATATTTTTTTTAACTCTGCTATCATGTCCTTTCCCAGACTCTGGGAAGAACTGCCTCGTCTACTTCAAAATTCTGTTAATGTTTCCACTTTTAAAAATAATTTAGTTAAGTATTTTACCTTTTATGTTTGTGATTAATTTCTGATTGTTTTTTGTTTTAATTAGTGTATTTCACAGTATGAAGGATAGGGAACATGTTTTGTTGGATTGGATTGGATTTATTCGGTGTAAACACCAAGGATAGCCCACGAAAGTCTAGAAGAAGACTTATTTCAAGTGGGGTCCTTCTGGTGGTGATTGGGCAGTACACCGGGAGACAATACCCTACTCTTTTCCGAAGAGTGCACTGCGTTCTTTAACATGCACATGGGCCATAATGCACACGGGACCAACGGCTTAAACGTCTCTTCCGAAAGACGGTGCGCTAGTAACTTGTATTTCTAGCTCTCTCTAGCTGAAACACAAGGAGAGGCAGCGATGGGAATTGAACCGGGGACCTAGAGATCTCCACGGTTCAGCACACACACAGCGGCTACCACCAGATTAGCCGACTGAGCTAAGCTGCTTCGCCCATTCCCTATCCAGGCAATACATGTTATTTTAATTTTGTATACAGTACTTTTTGCCAAATAAACATTATTACTATTATTCAGAACATCCACATTAAAAGTGGTCACAAGTCATGGCCTGAAGGCCAAATTCTATGCGAGGCTTGTAATTTCAATAAAATTGTTAAGCAAAATTTACAATATACAAAACTAATTACATGACGAAAAAACAATTACATGACAATAAATAATAACTATTACATTTGAAATCAAGCTAGAAAATCAAGTGAAATAGATTGTGTTATTATTTTTTTTAGAATCTCTTTTCCTTGCCAAGTCTAGATGAGTTGAAGAAAGAAATTATTCATCAATTCACCAATTCAAATTGTTGTCGTGGAAAATCATATGGACATTATGTTAGTTCTTCAACCACTTTCAAAAACCCAAAGGTATGAGAATCAACTTGAATTTTCTGAAAGTATAATTTACCCAGTAAGATAGATAATAATAGAATTTTTAAATTTCTTATGACATATTCGGCAGATATTGATTGCTTTCCTCACATCCAACGCTGCGACTGGAACTTTGAGTCTACAGGACGAGACAGGAAGCATTGACTGCGTAGTAACAAGTTTAAAATCAGACTCCCTCCCAAGCCATATATGCAAACATATTAGTTGCTTCCAACGAAAAGATCAGTCATTGTACGCACCATACTCCTACATTTGTCCGTATGCCCATGTCTGGAATCTTAATGGTCTTTTGAAAATTTCACAATTTTTGATGATACATGAGCAGTTCAGTAAAGGAGACGATGCAGTGATGGTGAGGTCGTATATCATGTTTGATATGCGACAAGCTGTGTACATCACTTCACACAATCTGTCATCTACGACATGTTTCAAGCTTCCATCTACATCAGTTACATCAAAAGGTGATTATTGATTTCTTATTTTTCTTCCTTCCATGTAGGAGTAAATATAATTAATCTGTTTTATCAGTAGCTAAATTTCATTAAAATGTTTACCTAATTATGGTTATGTATTTATTGATAATTATATTTGTATTTATTTGGGTGGAGCTCAGTTTTTTGTTTTTTTTGTTTAAGGTGTTCCTTTTCAAATCAAATTTCAATTTAATTTCAATTCTGTATTCATCCCACTTGACAATTTATAAACAGGAGTTATTATACTTAAACCAATAAAATACATCAATCAATACAAAATAGGTGCTTAGGTTACAAATTGTGCTTTGAAGATTGTTTAAGATGAGGCACTAAATCCTTAAATTACTATATTTTATTTTGTGCCATGCGACTATTTTATTTTTCAGAATTAACAACCATTGGGACACAAGATAAAATGTATACAATTAAAATAATAAAGAAAGGGAACTTGATGAAAAGACTAACAAAAACCGAAAGCAGTATTTCATTCACAATTGATGCCATCATGTTTCATGACACAGTTCCAAACGTTACTAACACTGCCTCACAAGATGCTGGTCTGCCCTCGGCTGTTACGCTAGATAAAAGCAATAACCCAACGAGTCGTAATGTTGTTGTAAAGTTTGAGGGAGCCGCTGTGAAGTGGTATCCCGTCTTGTATGCAGGATGTTGCTACCAAATTATTAAACACACATGCGTGGATGATAATTGGAAGATATTGGAGAAGATGAGCAACCAGTGTACACTTACTGTCAATGAGCGTGATGTTATCCAGCAGTGCATGGTAAGTGCACACTGATATATAAACTGGGGAACACCCTATTTATGTGTAAAGTAATATTGTGCAATTGTCAGGAACAAACTTGACTATGCTAGTCAGGTCTCAGGGATTTGAAATAAAAGAAACAAATATGCTTTAAAAAAAATACAAAAACAAGAAACTTTTTATGAAGACCTTCAGTGATGAGAGAGGTTGAAACCGAATTTGACATTGGTTCATATGTATCTTGACCTACTCATCAATATTTTTTTCGCTTTTTATTTATTTATTTATTGCACATCCAACAGTGTATACCAATTACAGGATGGAAATATAAAGTATAAAACTTACACAATATCAGTGAAAAGCCTATAAATTATTAAAAAATACAATAAAGATTATTTAACCGACTCAAATGTAATAGACTTAAACTTAGAAAACTACAATGCAAAAAAAATATCAAATTCAGGATTATCACAAACACAATTATTATAAAGCGATGACAGTCTACAAAAAATACCATTTTTACAAATAAATTGCAAGCTTTATTGCATCTCATGATAATTATTAAATTCCTCATTCTCGATTTGATGTATACAAATTTTAATTTTTAGCTTGGAATTCCCTCCCCTATCATGTAAAAGTGACTTCACTGAGTACCTTCAGGAGACTTTAAATTAGACTCCTAAGGATAGGCCTATTGTATATTTGTTTTATTCCCTTATACTTTTATCATGAGTTTTCTGTATCTGTAGGGGCTAAAGGTCCATTGACCTTTGTGGTAGATCCCCATCTGCCTTAAATTTTTATGAATCTTTTTATGTGAATTGCAGTTTTTGTAAGGCTTTGAGAATTAATAAAAAAAGTATAAAGAAATAAAGTTCATAAGAATATGTATACATACTGCCCTTTCTTGTGGGAAACAAATCTTGTGTTTAAACGATACATTTATGCAGTGACTAACATCTTGAATCTTGAATTTATGTTTGTCAGGTTAAATCCTCCAATCAGTATGCTGACGATTCTGATGTAGTTCTTTCTGTTGAAGGTATCATCTCAAGGTAAAGTCGTGAAAAAGTCCTTGTGTTACTTCATATTAAAAAAATTATTTCAAATATAATTTGTAATAATAAATAATAAGTGAGCAACTTTAAAGTTGTGTTTTATTTCTTTATGTTTTTCCTTGTTTTTTTAGTGGTAGGATAATTTTAAAACTGGTATGCTAACCTGGTGATTGGTATTAATTTTGTTACATAAAGCTGCACCGTGTCTCATTTTGTAGAAAGTATAGTACTGTATATAAAAATTAGACCAATCACAAGCCACCATGATTATTTAATATATACCATTTTGATGAAGACCTTAACTATCTTATCTCTTAAAAGCTTCAAGTCTGCGAAGAAAGTTGTTTCCTTCACTGGAGTGGTTGCTGTCTGTGGCATGTACAATTCACAAACACCTTCCCAACATGGTTCTGTCTATATGCATCTGAAAGTAATTGATACGGCATCAAGCATTTATAATTATGCATTGAGTCTTCCCGTATCTATACAGTGTTCTGTTCAACAATATCCACTAGGAATTCTTCCACAAGCTCTCATTTGTATAAGGTATGTTGAGTCTTCCTGACAAAATTTGATATAGTGTGGGACAGGTTTTTAGTGAGTGGAACAACTAAAATCTTCACACTTTCCGGTGCGTGACAAGCGTCTTAATAATTAACCAATTTTGTAGCTTGCTTGCACACTCATTCTTCCAGGATTTGTTGGCATGGATATCTGCGCTTTTTTTTCAACAGTGTTAACTGCTTATGATATGCATTATGTTTACAACACACTCCACCAGTGGACTTCACATATATTCGAACACACTTTTGAACATACTTTTTGATCAGCAGCAGACATCCAAATGATGGTTCATTCACTTACAATTTACAAAAGATTCATAACATCAAGAGACTTAATAAATGAAATTAATCTAAGCTAAAATACGAAATAAACAAAGATTTAAACAAAAATTAAATACAGAACATAAATTGTTGTTTCGTATAGTACTCTACTGGTATTTGGAAATATAACCTTAATTAGACATTTTGGTTCTTAATATGTGGCAAAGACAAGCCAAACCAGTCACTCGTCGCAAATCGTGTTTCAGAGAAAATGGCCAAAATATGCTGGAATGTCAAATTTTAAAAAATCTATTTTATTGCACTAAACTAATCTTTACATATCTATGCATCATTGTATGCTGTTATTTTCCCCATTTTCAATGTTAAAACAACACTTTTTAAGGATTTGAAGATAGTTTCTGCATGAGAAATGCCTGAAGTCATAAACTTTGAAGGCTGATTTCTCATATATTGTTCTTTAAACAGCTGTATGTTTAAACGCTTGTAACTTCATAAGGAAATGTCCGATTTGAATGATTTTTTTACCATTTTATAGCTTTCATTTTACTCTCTAACACTGTATTAATAACTCACAATCAATTTTTGCGACGAGTGACTGGTTTGGCTTGTCTTTGCCACATATAACTAACATTGTAATCAAATAATGGTGCTTTGTTATTTTTTAGAGGAGTTGAAGTTAACAGATCCAAAGGTAAAATACACTGCCAAAGTGGAGCATTGACATCTATTCAAATACTACATATTCCTAGTACTGTAACTGAAAAGTAAGTATAAAGCAGTGCAGCTGTAGCTTGGGGTTAAGATATCAGTCCTATGTCCTGGGGTCCTGATTTATAGTCCTGTAAAAATCCATAATATGTTCTTACAACCCCACATAACTATAGTTAACTTTAACTACATTAACTTTAGTTTCCAGTTCCATTCTTTAGTTGGCATGCACAGCATTGATATTGATACTGATGGATGAAAAAAAAGAAAATTTTGCTTCGTTTTATATTTTTAAAACTGATTTTTATTTCCTTTACAAAAGCAAGTAAACTCATCACTTACATGATGGAATGATGCTTTATAAACCAAATCTCTTATCGAAACCCAGGGAGTGCAGGGGCGGATGGTTGTGAAAAAAAGTCCTTCTGTGACAGGAATTGAACCCAGGACCCTGGAATTAGAAGGCAGGCATCTTAACCACTAAGCTATTCAACTCCACTCCTAAATATAATTTTAAGTGAGATCACCAGTACAACACACAGTCCCTGTGGCAGATTCAGAAGTGTGTTAGTGATGTCTAAACCCCTCCTTGGTTCTTGGAGTACTTATTTTCAGACTGAAATGTAATATAATAAACCATTTTATATGTTGGTAACATAGCCAATGGCTGTTTTCATGCATAGCCACCAGGAGAATGCTCAGAAAATATAACGGAAAACAGTCCTAAATTGATAATAATAATAATACCCAAATATTTATGTAGCACCAATTCCAACGAATGATCAAAGGCGCTGAGCGTTATTACCCTGGTCACTGGATAGCATACAAACATAACAAAACGCAACCTTCTCTGCTCCCTAAGGAGTAAACTTAGTCATCATGCGCTACGTATTTAGTGCACAAAACTAGTACATTCAATGCTACAACATCCTACCAGGTACCCATTTATACTTGTGGGTAGCGAGAGACAACTGTATGTAAAGCCCAAGGATATGATTCGACTTTTAATCACCCAGCTGGTAATCGATCCCTCCCTCTCAGTGCTCCACACCTCGTTGGATGCTTTCATACAATAGAAACTGAGGTTTTATGGACCCCCTTCTGCAAATGTCTAGAGTGAGTCCGATTTTTTTTTAACAAGATATATTTTGTTTTATCGAATCCAGCAATGTCCATGGTGAACCTGAAGTGACATCAGAAGCTCAGACCACATACGGCATTCACATTTTGAGGTCACTGTTATCTGGCAACAAGGAAACTAATTTTATAATTAATGGCTTCATCACTGCCCTCTACAGCCTCAATATCAGGTAAGAGGTTGTACAATCTTAAGTGAATTCATCTGGTGAGATCATTTGAGTCTCAAAATCAAAATCCTACCTAAAAGAAATATGGTTCAGTTAAAGCTAAACATATTGTTTAGTACTACTATTATCATAGAGGAAATATATTGAAATATTTTATATTTCCTCCATGCTATTATATACTGTGAAATATTTCCTCCATGGTTGAACTACAGTTGTTGGAGGACTGACATTCGTAGGAAGTACTTAATGTTCAGGTGGTTATAGATCTTTATGGGCATTGTTGTAACAGGGTTAGAATTACACCGGGCTATGAACTTTTAGCCTTTTACGATCCAACGCCAATTGATTACGAAATGAGCCACAGTAATTGTTGGCGAGACAAGTGGCCAAGGCATAAGGCAGGGGCACCGCAAACTACAGCCCTAACATTGGCGCTGGTTCGAGTCGCTCCGCATCCAAGGTTCAGATGGAAGAATTTAGTCTTCTTGAATATAAGGACGTAAAATAGAGGTCCAATGTACACATCTGGCTTGTGTGCACTTTAAAACACCCATTGTATCTTTCTGAAGAGTAAGAGAGTTGTCTTGATGCTATAGTTCATTACCTTTATACTATAAGTGCCTCTTTACAGTGACTTGGAGTCAATTCAGCTCAAGTTATGGGTTGCTCGCCAACATTTACATTCAACTTTACTAATTTTATAATTATGAAAATAAAATTAATATTTGGTTTGATTACAAGTGCTTTGTTTAACATTGTAGATGGCTGTGTTTCCTGTGTAAATCACATGAGCAATGTACATGTTGTTTATCAGATGAACATGCTGAGGGTTGCATGAGTTTTTCTGCAAGGTTGGTTCTATCATATTTTCTATAATTTCAAACATTTTTAATAATTTCTTAATGGCCAATGGCTGTACACATATGTAGCTCATATTACATTCATCTCATCACTACTTGAACAAACAGAGCATCACTTATTTTTTTTTTAATTTTATGCCAGACATTAGAGTACCTAACAAGAGCATTCTGAAATATATTGAGTGTAGTAATAATTGAAATACTTTCTGGGATAGGAATCATATCAAGTGTACAGCATATATTACGGTACTGTATACAGAACTAATAAAATTATTTGTAGCGAGAAAGTAGATTACTGTATTAAAATTGTAATTTTGCTCTGATTTACAGATTACTTATTGACGATGGTACAGCTTCTGTGCATGTATGGTGCACAGAGAGCCAATCAATTGCAAGCATCTTAGGCCTACCTGACCATAGGTGGCAGCAAATATTAGATGTTATCAAAAGAGATGGACCATTCCACTTTAATTTATTCAATGATTTGTTTGATAAGGTATTGTAGTCTAAATCCCTTTCCAGACTATTAAATTTTATTTGATAAAAACATGTGACATGCCTTAACATGGTCATGATGACATCACATCATGACCATATATAGGCACATCATGACTATATATGGGCATTGATATAAACAAAATAAATAAAATTTGATAGTCTGGACAGAGCTTTAGAATTTTTGGAAAGCAAAAGAAAACAAATAGAAGAAAGAAAGAAAAAGAAAAAAAGTGATCGCCCAAAATGTCCAGGTGTTATTTTTGGGCATCTAGAAAACAAAAATTTTACAGGGGCATGCCCTGTTTGGGGTCTAGAAAAAAAAATTTTGCGGGGGAATGTGCCCGAACCCCAAGGGCTAGTGATATCTCAATCGGCCCCACTTTCAGCCCCCCTCCTTTTGGACATCTCTGGATCCACCCGTGATTAATTCCACACTTGTAGCCAAAGCAGTAAAACCTTAGTAGTACCCAACTGGGAAAATACTCAAGGAAAATGAACCTTTCATTACAGATCAGCTAAACTTTGGAATAATCTAACAAATGAAGTCAGAAAAAAAAGTGACTGTAGTCAATTTTAAAAATTCCATTTGTGTAAATTTTCTTTAATTTACATTTTTATTCTATGGTTATTTGTTATTTAAACCTTCTGTCGTTATTCTTGCGTTTGTATAATTTGGGTATCTTTATACTTTCTTGTTCTGTTTAATATTTTGACTTAGTTTATATTTTTAACTGGCCTGGGGCCCCCTATTTTTTTCAAAATTTAACAAAAAATGTTCAATCTGACCCTCAAGAGGTGCCACAATAATGATACATTTTCTTACCTCAGCCCCAACCATGGTGGAGCTGAGATGGTATAGATCTCCATCTGTGAAGTCCCTCCCTAGTCCCCTTTTATTTCAAATTCCTGGATCTGTCACTTACCTTGTATTTGTTTGATATTCAGTGTGATGTAAAGAACCTACTGAAGCAGTTGTGTATGAGCAACGTAATAAATCACCCAATCCAGTTGCATTGTTCCTCGGCATATCTCAGGTCAACGGGTAAGTTCATATTCACATGAAGTATAGCGCTCTCGCTTGGTGGTTAATGTGCCAGCTTTCCAAATCCAGGGTCCTTGGTTAAATTCCTGTGACAAGATGATTTTTTCCCACATATCAACACTCCATAAAACTTATATAAGACTTGTACTCAATTCACACACAACAACATTTTACAATGGGCATTATTATTAGTGTTATATTATTATTTTATAGGATTTATATACAGTAATGAACATATCTAGAAAACTGCTCAGGGCATAATTTTAGTGATCATTGGATGCAGAATCAATCATACACATCATGCAACATCCTCCCGTCCCTAGGGAGTATTCCAAGTTATGCGTGCAATCAGCATTACTAATTTCATTGTAAGTAATTCACCTCCTACCAGGTACCTATAAATTTTATACTCCTGGGTGATGAGAGGCAAATGCAGATGAAGTGTCTTGCACAAGGACACAAGCAGTGTGACACTATTACAGTCTGCAGCACATGCTTCTACACTTGCTACACTTGCTATATCGCATCCGACAGAGAGATTTTTGTAATATTGTCCCGTTCCATTTCCATGTACGAAAAACAGACATCGCAGTGGCCCATAACACTTGCAAGATACTTACCATGGATCTGTGTGCATGCTTTTGCACTGCAGCTTACGGTACCTTTTACTGTGACATTGCACATATCTAGCTGCATATCAAATTATACCAACTTTAACAAAGTCTTAATTCAGTCCTGTAAAAAGGACAGTTTTAGTTGGAAATTTATGTCCTTTCATGTGTCCCATGGAAATTTGTTAAATTGTGTAAATCAGGTCTTCAGGAATTAGGTGGAATAGATTGATACCGTATTTTAATTTTTCATATAATTTATTAGCTTTTAATTTAAGATTAAAAGGACAAAATATATTCCTTGCAAATTAATCTATCTTCTGTATATAGAGCAGTGAATTAAGAATTTTCATAGTAAAATGTCTGTAAATTACAGACTAAATTTAAATGTTTGATTGGTGTCTTATTGGACATTGATCACTAATTTGATCATTTTAAATCTGCAATTAATTTTTTTTGACAGTTGTTAAAATTTGGTAGCACAGGATTTTTCTAGTTGGAAAATTTTAGTGAAGATATTGGTGGGGGCTGGAAATCAGTGGCCTAAACAGCTGGTGAGGTTGTGGTCAAAGGTTGTTTAATTGTTCAAGCATTATTATTGAGCTTTATTAGTACAGAAATATATTTTGAATTTACAGTGTTGATATTATAATTTGGTTATTTGGGTTTTTTTTTTATCTTCAGATGAAAGGAGCAGTAGTGAACAGCTGTGGGTACAGGCTACTGTGAGTTCACACAATTAGGAACTCGAGACGAGTAGGGGTTACCCTGGTGTGCTGGTCCACCCGTCCTATATTTTTTAGTACAGACAAGAGATAGTGTTGGCCTAAAGGAGACTAAAAGTGACTTTTAGGAAAAAACATTTTTCAAATGAGATTATCTACAGTTAACCTGTGAGTCAGTATACAAATAATGAATGTTTATGAGTGCAGCGGGAAGAATATTTTCTTGAGTTAAGAGATTGACTGTTCCATTCAATGAGTTGGAAGCGAGTTGAATGAAACAGTCAATTTTTCAATTCAAGAAAATATTCTATCCATTGCGCAAATAAAAAGACATTCATTATTTGTTTATTATTCTACCATATCTTATGAGAACCTCCAAGATTTGATTTTTGAAGGCTTTTGTTAGTTTTCAACACAGATAAACTAGAATAATAGAAAATTATATCTTAACAAATAATTTATTCTATTAATTAGTAGAATTTGTCAATGAATTTTACTGTAAAATATTAATACATTTTGGCCCAATAATCGAAACTGGCCCCCATTTGGTCATTTCATTTAAATTCCGCACTCAGCAGATCCCATAGGGTCGGTGGCACTAAAAGCGAGAAACGGCATGCTATACTGGTGAAATTCTGTTCTTATCGCAAGAGAAACGAAGTAATTAAATCTAGACGAAAATTCAAAGGCTCATCTATTGGTATCCAGGAAGACCTAACATATGCAAGAAATACATTATTACAGAAGGTAAAAGCTCTTCCATTGGTCAGGAAAGCTTGGTCTATCGACGAAAAAATTATGGCCCTAGTGCAGAAACATGATGGTTCAGAGTATGTTAAGTATTTCAAATCTATTGACGAGTAGAAGAGGAGGTTGCAAAGTTACATCTTACTGAGAAAACATTTATAACAAAAACTTTACTTACATCTAAAATAAAAAAATTAATTTACAGGAAAACAAACTATTTAATGGCTTATACATTGTATAATTATTAAGTTCTTAATTAAATATAGTATTATTATTGCTTATTGCTATTGCCTGTATTGTTAATATTATTGATAAAAAAAAGGGACTCAAAATTGATAATTGTATTTTTTTTTACTTACTATCTTCTGTATGCACTATTATTATTTAATACTATTATTACGATTTTTATTATTATCATTACTATTATCATTGTTAATGTTATTATTATTATTACTATTATTTATTATTATTATTGTTGTCATTAATGTTATTGTTAATATTTTGATTTTTATTATTAGGCTTAATGTTAATATTGTTATTCTTATTATATTGTTTATTATTATTATTATTACCCATTGTTATTGTTGTTATTATTTTTTTTAATACTATTGTTTGTTACATATTACTATTGTTTATCTACTGCTATGTATTATTGTTATTATTTTATTAATGTTAATTATGTTATTATTAATGTTGTTAGCGTCTATGTTTGTTCTGTTATGGCTTACTCCGTAGTTGCTTGTAATACTTTTGCTTTAATTTATTTTAAGTCAATTATTGTATTTATATTGTTTATAGTAACATATTGGTATCCTGTATATGTAATTTAATTATCAATGCTATTTTAGTTTTACAATATTATTTTGATTTAATTAATGCTATACTGGTGAAATTCTGTTCTTATCGCAAGAGAAACGAAGTAATTAAATCTAGACGAAAACTCAAAGGCTCATCTATTGGTATCCAGGAAGACCTAACACATGCAAGAAATACATTATTACAGAAGGTAAAAGCTCTTCCATTGGTCAAGAAAGCTTGGTCTATCGACGGAAAAGTTATGGCCCTAGTGCAGAAACATGATGGTTCAGAGTATGTTAAGTATTTCAAATCTATTGACGAGTAGAAGAGGAGGTTGCAAAGTTACATCTTACTGAGAAAACATTTATAACAAAAACTTTACTTACATCTAAAATAAAAAAATTAATTTACAGGAAAACAAACTATTTAATGGCTTATACATTGTATAATTATTAAGTTCTTAATTAAATATAGTATTATTATTGCTTATTGCTATTGCCTGTATTGTTAATATTATTGATAAAAAAAGGGACTCAAAATTGATAATTGTATTTTTTTTCAACTTACTATCTTCTGTATGCACTATTATTGTTTAATACTATTATTACGATTTTTATTATTATCATTACTATTATCATTCTTAATGTTATTATTATTATTACTATCATTGATTATTATTATTGTTGTCATTAATGTTATTGTTAATATTTTGATTTTTATTATTAGGCTTAATGTTAATATTGTTATTCTTATTATATTGTTTATTATTATTATTATTACCCATTGTTATTGTTGTTATTATTTTTATTATTATTTTTTTAATACTATTGTTTGTTACATATTACTATTGTTTATCTACTGCTATGTATTATTGTTATTATTTTATTAATGTTAATTATGTTATTATTAATGTTGTTTGAGTTTATGTTTGTTCTGTTATGGCTTACTGCGTAGTTGCTTGTAATACTTTTGCTTTAATTTATTTTAAGTCAATTATTGTATTTATATTGTTTATAGTAACATATTGGTATCCTGTATATGTAATTTAAGTATCAATGCTATTTTAGTTTTACAATATTATTTTGATTTAATTAGTTTTACTTTGCTTTTACACTGTCACAGAGAAAGAGAAAAATGAAAAGGAAAAAAATAAGGAATAAGAATATGATAAGTAAAAATTATTATGAACACAAAATTCTTCTAAAATCTTTATATCTTGAGGCCTGCCTGTGTGTTGTGCAGTACTCACCTAAGGCGCACTTGTATTTTACAACCGTATCCCATTAAATTACCGTTGAATTTGCATATTTGTATTTTTTGTGTCTGTGTTTTTGTTTTTGTTTTTCTTGTGTAACTCATGGAAGCGTCTCACTATTTGTTTAGTAATAGTGACAGACTTTCTAATTTGTTATTTGATCCATCTTCTTCCACTAGTCAATTTGATGAAATAGACCCGAATAACAATTTTTTTTATTAACCCTACCATATCAAAATATTATTTGCAAAATGAATTCAAGGAGCAATTCAACAATATTGAATATAACGATAATTTTTCTTGTATACATTTTAATGGGAGAAGCCTTCAAAAAAACTTTGATTCTATTTTAAATTGTATTAAGTCATTAAATTTTAATTTTGATATTATTTCGGTAACTGAAACCTGGATGGATTCAACTAGCCCTCTTATCCACATTCCAAACTATTCTATAATATTTCAACCTCGCTCCTATAAATGTGGAGGAGTTCATATTTTTATTAACAACAATATGAGTTACAAAGTTAGAAATGATTTAATACCATCTCAATATTTTTGTGAATCTAAATTTATTGAATTAAATACAAACAAACATAACCTAATTATTGGTACTATATATAGACCACATAATATATCAATTTCTTCATTTACTGAACAATTTGAAATCTTGCTAAGGAAAATATCGAGGGAAAAGAAAAAAGTCTTTCTTCTTGGTGATTTTAATATTGATATTTTAAAAATTTGATTCTGATACCAACATCAATGATTTTGTACACTGCCTTTTTAATGATTCTTTTTTTTCATCTTATTCATAGACCGACAAGAATTACTCCTAATTCCGCAACTCTTATTGACAACATTTTTATCAAATGACATCGAGTCATCCAGCATCAGTGGTATCGTTATTGACGATTCCACTTTTCATCTTCCTATTTTTAATATTAGTAACTTATGCAAACCTAATAAACCAATAAATAACCAAAACAGCATTCTAGAAAAATCAATGAATATAATATCTTATCTATAACTTCCAGAACGACCTATCTAACAGTTCATGGGAAGATGTCATCAATGCCTCGGATCCTAACTATGCATATGATTTATTTTTAAATAGATACTCTTCCCTGTATAACACAACATAATCCTATTAAATATAAACCCAAACTGAAACCATGGATGACTGACTGATTGCTAACCTCAATAACATATAAACATAAACTTTATTCTAAAAGCCTCCGTCAACCCACTAACTCAAATATTTCAAAGTATAAGCATTATCTAAAAATAATTAAACACAATCCTGAAGACCGCCAAAAGAAATTACTATTCTGACATCTTTAGCAAATTAAAATCCAACATCAAAGGTACCTGGCGTGTTATTAATTCTCTTCTTAAACCATCTTTAAACAATAGTAATCAATCTGGTATTGAGATTATGGTAAACGATAAATTAACAAAAGATCCCTTATCAGTTGCAAAATTATTTAACAATCATTTTACAAATACTAGCCTGGTTGTAAAACTACTGAAATGAACTTTAGCGGGAAAAAAGTAAAGGAAAATTAATTTTTGGTTTTTCTGAATCAGCATACCCTATAGTGTATCAGAAAAAAATCCCCATGCCTAGGGCTTGGGCAATTTTTTTTACAGCACTTTGAAATTTTGGCCTAAAATACCTTATTTTAAACTATTTAAGGTGGGGGTAGGGGAAATAAATTTATGTTTTTGGTCACTTTTACATATACTGTGGATATTAAATGTAACAACAACTTGGCTATATAGTTACTCATCACTCTCATTAAAAAATTTGATCGGAATGATGACGTCATCATGACAAATTCCAAGATGGTGTCCATTATCGTGGGAAAAACTATGTTTTTAATTCAGAATCAAGTTATCAATACAATTAGTTGATTGGACCACAAAAGCTTGGTTCACGTCGAAATTTTATCTAGATATACATCCACTTAACTAGTTAAAAGTTCGACGTGAACCACTCAAGTATAGCTAGTTAAAGGAATTAAGTCACTTAAGTTAAGTGACTTAACTTTACTAGAATAACGGTAAATTAACTTGCTTAACGGTAAAGTCGGCTTGGATTAAAAGGACACGATTACGTAACGTAGGCATCTAAGCCAGCTTTGTACTGTATTGTACCACCATTATCATCTTCTGGCTGGCAACAACGTACTTCAACAATGCTAACAACAGCATCGAAGTAGTCTCATTAGTCTGGTTTTCAGAAATTATTTGTAATATTTTGGGTAAACACCCAGCAAACGTCCGTTTTACGAATAGTCGATATTACCAATGACCTTTGCCCTTTGCATCATCGACCAAGTAATAACGTTAAAAAGTCCGATTGCGTACGTTTTTCAAAGTGATAATGTATATTTTATATAAATAATAAAATCAGATTTGTTGTATTTATTTATTGACAATTCAATCTTTTCTATTTCCGCTATAATAGTCGCTATTAATTCAATTTCAACGAACTACCACCAACGCCAGTCGTTAAATGACGAAATAAAAAAGTGTGTGGAAGTCAGCAACTTATTTGACACCGCGAAGCTAGATTTTCGCGAAGTGCATGTAAACAACACAATTGAGCGATTTAAAAACTACAAAACAGGACAGAAAGGTCCATAAAGTATACATACGTTTTAATGAAAATTAAAACAATATTTTGTTAAATGGAAGAATGCTAGCTAGCGATTAAAATAATTCGTTTTTAATCGAAGGTAAATGTAGCTAGGGCGCAGGGCCTAGAGAATCTACCACTTAGATTGCGATAGAACACGCTGCTGCACTGGTCGTTGGTTGGTACTGGTCGGCTAGGTTAGGTAGTGGAAATTTCTCACACCTTCTCTACAGTAGTTTACAATTTTTTGGAACGAATACCACTTGGTACTAGAGGTTCGTAAAATACAGTAGATGCTTTATTAAACCATGGAGGAAGGAAATTTCTAAATTTCCTTCCTCCATGATTAAACAAGCCTTTCGACCGTGTGACGTCGACGGCTTGAAACTGGCTGGCTGTTTATCTGGCTCTAACTTGGCATCGAACGCAATTAGGGGATTATCGTATCATGTTTCAAGACGGGTATATCTAGATAAAGTTCGACGTGAACCAGGCTAATATATAAGTTCAGTGACAAGTTAATGGGCGAATTAATTACTGTACAATTAAACCATGATAAGATGTCGGCAAAATGATTATGTAAGCGATAGTCGTAGTTTTTTGGACGCTTCTTGACATATTGCTTGGC